GCGGGAGCCTCTCAGCAGGGCTGGGATCCCTCCCGCTTCTCCTGGCGAACTCCCCTCGTCGTTCACTCTCTCGGCCCCCTCCTGCACCCACCCAGCCCTGGGAGCATCCTGGCTGGCATCTTGTTGACTCCAGCCAGCGGTACCCGGTGCGTGGCACGGGGTAAACACGATCCTCGGGATCCAAACCCGATGGATTTGGAAGAATTTATTTATTATTTGAGGCAGATTAAATGTGTGGGGTTTTTTTAAAAGCAAAGCAGAAACATCATCCTAATGCATGTGGTCCTTGGAGCCAAGGCAGACTGAAGGGGCAGTGAGATGCTCTGCACGGGTTACATGGATGCTCTGTTGCTGCAGTGCTGATTCCCCTCACACTGGGGATGTTGGGGGATGCTGAGGATGAAGGCTGTCAGGCTCAGGGCTGTCATGTCACAGCCCCACTGCCCACAGGGACTGTGGTCAGGCCTGATGTGTCCAGGTGTCCCTGCTCTGTCCCCATGAGGAGCTGCGTAGGTGCTGGCTCTGCCGTGACTCCATGGCCTTGTGCGTATTTTTAAGCAAATGCTGCTGTTTCCTGTGTCTTGTCAAATAATTACATTTGGCATCTAAGGCTCCAGCGCTTCAAGGAGAACCAAATTAAAATTGGAGCTCATTGAGCAGAACACTGTGTTCCCGGGCCATGCAAGGGCTGCTCACAGCCAAGCTCCCACGGCTCCGGCCGCCCGGAGGTCCAGCATGATCCCGGTGTGATTCCTGCTGTGCCCTCGGTGGGCAGTCTGCAGGCAGGTGACCTTGGGGTCACTGGCCTGGCTGTGGCTCAGGTGGCCTTCACCCCTCGCCATTATGTCCCTCTGGGATGATGCTCCTGCTCAGGCACAGTGCAGAGTGAAGGTCCTAGCTGAGGCACCGCTGCTGCTCTGCGGTGAGGCTGGGGAGATGTGAGCTGCAGCTGACTCTGAGAGCTGTATTAGAAGTTCCTACAGGACCCAGGAGGGGACAGGAATGTTTGGAGCTGTGCATGGCCCTGAGACTGGGTGCCCCTTGTGCTGTCCCCACAGGCAGGGATAGACAGGAGGGCTGAGGGAGCTGCAGCACCCGGGTACAAGCGACGTGGGAGAGACAGGATGCACCAGGGCATCCTCCCGCCTCTGCTCTTCCCGCACCCCAGATGATGCGGCCGCCCCTGGGGGAGGTGGGATGAGTCTTCCTGGGATGAGTCTCCCTGGGATGAGTCTCTATGAGATGAGTCTTTGCTGGTAATGTTGTTGTCAGTTTCCATCTCCCAGAGTTAACCTTTGGGGAGAGCATCTGCTCATCTGACCACAAACCATGTATGCAGGGCAGGAGCCCATGGCTCTGGTAGCGTTTGGTGATGCTCCAGCTGGTGCCACAGTTCTGGGCTTGGACAAATCCTCTGGCTCTGTGTCTCTTGCTACAGTGTGGCCCTGTCCCTATTCCCATCCCTGTCCCTGCCAGGCAGGTGACAACCCCTCTGTGGAGCCCCTCTCCTGGTGCTCTACTGCCCCGAGCAGACGGGGCTCTGGGCTCTCCCTGCCCTGCGAGTCCCGTGTTGTGTTTGAGCTGTGATGGGTCGGGGCAGATTTCTTGCAGGCATTTCTCTCCCCGTTCCTGTGTCCCTGACAGTGGTGGTGCCACGGTGGCTGTCCCTGCAGTGAGTCTCTGTTGGGTGACAGTGGGTGCTGGTGCCTGGCCCTGGCTCTGTCTCTGCTCGCTGCAGCAGTGCCGCAGACGGGAGTTGGCCGAGAGCCGCAGGCGCAGCGTCAGTGGCTGCTGGTGCCGCAGGCTGTGCAGCCCTGTGCCTGCGTTGCTGCCTCAGCCTCTGTCCGGGTTCTGCTCATGCCATGGCTCTGCAGGGACAGCAGCAGCAGCCTCTGCCTGTGCTGCTGCCACGGCCTCACAAGCTCCCGTGCCTTTCAGCAAACCCTGTCCGGCTCCCTGGGCACTGCTGCCAACCTGGGGGTCCCGCCTGGTCCTCAGGAGATAGCTGGGTGCCTCCCCCACATCCCAGCTGATGTGTGATGAGGATGTGTGGCCTTTTCTGTGTGGTGCTTGTGCCTCAGTTTCCCCATGCCGGTGCTGTGCTCCCCCTGCCTGGGCTGGGGTTCGAGCTGGGAGCGGTGATCACCACGTGCCATTAGCTCCGTACGCCTGCCCCTCGCTTGATACTGCTCAGCAAGTACGACTGTTTACATAGCACATTGTTCAAAGTAATTCAATTTACAGGAATGATCTTTATTTCTAAATAAAAAATTAATACAGTTCTTTTGTTTGTGCGTTTATATAAACGAGCTGGCACAAAGTCAGTTTACAATGTTCCCATCTGAAGTAAATTAGTGAAGTCTCTTAGCTAAGTCTCTGTATAATTTCAGCACAGAAATGTCCTCTTTTTTTTCTTCTTTTTTGGTCAGCAATGGTCAGGCTGAAAAATTTAGACCCTTCTTTTCCTCCCAAATAGTTTCGCTATTAGTAATCCCAGCACAGGACAGTATTTCCACATCTTGCTGGGCCCACGGTGGGCAGCAGCTCCTCGGTGTGGGGTCGGGCACGGGCAGCACTGGTGGCCTGGCCTGGGCTCTGTCTCTGCCCGTCCACAGAGCCCAGGGCTGCTCAAACCGAAGGGTTTGTGGTGCAGGGTCTCTCCTGTCGCTTGCTGTGGCTGTTTCTTGTCGCTCTTTTGTGCCCACTCTGAGAGATGCTGGAGCTGCTCAGGCAGTGCTGCCAGTGGCTCCGCTTCCCACTGTGGTGAGGGGCCGGCAGGAGCCTTCGGGAGCTTGAGGTGGCAGTGGCAGTGCTGGGGCCGTGTGGGGAAGTGCAGTGATTGTGTTGGAGCCAGTACCACCTCTGGTGTGGCAGAGGAGATGCTCCGTTCTCTCCTGATGCTCTCGCTGCTGCTCATTGCGTTTATTATTTTAAGCAGCAGTAATGCTGAAATGCAGGTACCAAACCAAGGCCAAGGCTGGCACCTCATGTCAGACACTGACCTGGGTGTTCAGGGGGCCACACCTGCTGCTCCCTTGTGAATCATCTGCCCTTGACCATCAGCATCCTGACAGGAATGGAGGTTTTCACACAAACACCTGGGGAGGGGATCCCGACTGTCTTGTTGCCTCTTCACTGTGCTGAGCTACCTTCCAGCACAGCTCACTCCAGCGCAGTCATCATCCTCTCACAGCGAGGAGACCTCCTCCACAGGGGAAAAAGCAGATGTGTGTGCCTGTACGTGTGAGGAGAGCACACATGGTTTGATTTATGGCAGCGGGAGAGAACCAGCTCTGACACAGTTTCCATCTGAGTGTCACTCTGGCTGTTATCAAAATAAAAAACCCACGGGCTCGGAAGCTGATTCACGGCGCTGCGTCACCTCAGCCCCTCGGCCGTGTCTGGCTCTGCAGGGCTGCAGTGAGTTACACCCCACTGCTGCCCACACCGCTGCCACTGCCGCGGCAAAGGCGCCGCTGGGGCGGCTCCATCGCATCTCTCCATGCATGGTTTTGTGGGAGCTGGGGCGCTCAGGGTGAGCCACGGGGTCAGCAGCAGCGCCTGCATCCTGGCATCGTGCTGCCTTTCCCCTGCCTGCCTTCCCCTGCCTGCCCTCACCTTTCCTGCCCTCACCCTTCCCTGCCTGCCCTCACCTGCCTCTTCTCCTCCGCAGCCGGTTCGGTACGAAGTGTGCCCGCTGTGGCAGGCAGATCTACGCCAGCGACTGGGTGCGGCGGGCACGGGGCAACGCCTACCACCTCGCCTGCTTCGCCTGCTTCTCCTGCAAGCGGCAGCTCTCCACCGGCGAGGAGTTTGGCCTGGTGGAGGAGAAGGTGCTGTGCCGGATCCACTACGACACCATGATAGAGAACCTCAAGCGAGCGGCAGAGAACGGTACGGAGCGCCAGCGGTCACGGCCTCGCCCGTGCGGGTGTCACTGTCCCCTGAGCTGAGCCTTAGCACAGGGTGTTGGGGTCGGTTCTATCGTTGCCAAAACGGGGTGATGGGTGGCCCTGGGGGGGGATTGAGCACAAGGCCCTGGGCTGGCAGGGTGCTCGTGGGGTGGCCGATGTGCTGGCAGCACCTGCGGCTCGAGGCAGGCCTGTGTGCCGTGGGCGATGCCTGGTCCTGCACGGCCTGGAGTGCGGAGCGTGAGGAAGCCGCTGGGATCTTGAGGCTGTGAGTCATAAATGTAGAAGGTGGGACTGGCGATTGGACAAAACCTTGCCATCATTTTCCAGCTGCCCTGCCCATCTGGGGTCGTGCCGCTCCCAGCTGGACAGCGCCATGGCCAGCCAGCCGCCGCCGTGACAGCGAGGTCACGCAGCCCTGAGGCTCCTGTCCCTTCCCATCCTCCTGCATGGCAGTGCCCAGAGAGATGCTCAGAGGAACAAATTAGTGGGGTTAGTCCAGAGTGGTGTGCAGGGAGGCCGGGCAGTGCCAGGGCCTGTCCTGTGATGGAAAGTACTTCAGCACATGGTGGGCACAGGGAGTGACACGCCATGTCCTGACCCATGCAGCATGTGGAAACCATTAACAACCTGACAGGAAAATAATGTGTTTCTGTTTACTGTGTTTGAGTAAGAGGACGAAAGCAGAGTGCCCAGTTGGGCGGGAGGGTCTCGGCTCGGGACGTGGCTCGCGGCGTGTTGGTCCATATGGTCAGCTGCTGTGGGGGCCTGAGGGAGGTGATGGGGAGCAAGGATGGAGGGGGAGAAGCCACGTGTCCTGGGGGAGCAGAAGGGTGTGAGGACAGCAGGGTCTGGCAGCGGGGAGTCCTGCAGAGCTGTTGCCCCAGATGGGGGCTGGGGTGGGGAGTTTGCTGCTGCTGCTGCTGCTCAGAACAACCTGCTGGTGTGGGCTGAGCACCAGTGTTGGGCACTGCTGGGGCACCTGGTGAGTGTCAGGTGACACTACCTGTGTCCAAGGGGTTTTGAGAAGGGGGTGGGATCACTTTGGAGAGCTGCAGTTGCTGTGGAGTTGGAGGGCCACGCTCCCCCCTCCAGTAATTACCCAGCAATTTCTTCTGCACATGAGGTTTTACATACAAGAAAAATAAACAGATGTTGCTGAAGTCAGAGTCCCATTCATCATTCGAAAAGAACAAGTCAAACTATATGAGAAAGTCCTTCAACTCAAGCCAAGACAATCACAGCCTGGTCCAGCTTGTGGAGCGATGGCCGGGCCGTGCAGGCGCATCCTGGGAGCGAGGCGAGCGCCAGCCCTGCTCAGCTGCCCTCCCTCAGCCATCCCTCAGCAGTGCCAGGAGCAGCCAGGCGTGCCACGGGCTGCAGCAGGGTCCTGGGGAGGACAGAGGCTCTGGCCACCCCCTCTCTGGAGGCTGCACAGCAGCGTGAGCACGGCTGGGCTCGCCCCGACTGCTGGGTAAGGGGGAGGTCGGTGCCCCCCTGGAGTGCCCCCCTTAGCGTGGCTGCTGCTCAGAGCATCGCCACCCCAAGGCCATGGGCACGGTGCTGGTGCTGCTGCTGCTGCTCTGGGATGCAGGAGGAAGAGCGGGGTCGGGGTGCTGGGACAATTCAGGGCTGGGGACAGGAGCAAAGAGCCCACGGAAATGCTCTGAGCAAATGAAAGGACTGATGGAGGCAGCGCCCACGGGGTCACAGGGAGCAGCAAGGGACAGGAGTGATGGATGTTGGTGAGCCTGGCAGAGACAGGGTCCTTTCCAAGCCACTCCCTTGAGAATGTGGCCAAGTGGTGACCGCGAGTCAGGCCCAGAGGGACATCAGTGCTTGCCCTCACACAGCACCTTGACCCTCCTCCTGCTGCTGTCTCACCTTATTCCCTGTGGCATCCACCACTTGCTGCATTTTTCTTAATTCTACAGTAAACTCTTGGGGAATGGTTGTTTCTCCTTCCCTGTGTGTGGAGGGGCCCAGGGCAGCTCCTGAGTGGCGGTGCTGGCTCCACTCTTCCTGCTCCCACGGCAGCAGGGGATGCTCTGGGTGTCTGTGCTGCTTTTGCAAGCGCTAACCCCACTGCATTACTGCAGGCTGTGATGCCAGGGCTGTTGTCTCTCGGCTGAGGGCAGGCTCTGGGTGTCCCACGCTGTGATGCCACCAGGTGTGGTGTCCCCCAGATGAGCAGTGGCTGCACGTGCTGGGGCAGGCGGCACTCACAGGCTCTCACAGGGTTTCTGTCCTGCAGGCAATGGGATCACGCTGGAGGGGGCTGTGCCCTCGGAGCAGGACAGCCAGCCGAAGCCAGCCAAGAGAGCCCGCACCTCCTTCACCGCCGAGCAGCTGCAGGTAGGGCAGGAGGGCCAGCGGGGCTGGAGGGGCCGTGACTCCCCAGGCTGATGCCGAGCCTCTCTCTCCTCTCCTCCGTGCACAGGTCATGCAGGCACAGTTTGCTCAGGACAACAACCCCGACGCACAAACGCTCCAGAAGCTGGCGGACATGACGGGGCTGAGCCGGAGAGTCATTCAGGTGAGGACAGGGACGGGCAGGGGTGGCCACCATGGGCCGAGCAGCCCCAAGCAGGGCAGGGAGGGGGCACCTGGAGGCTGGCACCAGACAGGGCTCACAGCCCGTGGCTCCTCAGCCCCGGGCTTGCAGCATCAGCAGCTTCGTGCTGCCTCCCCTGCGCGTCGGCTCCTCCGCTCCCGCAGCGATGCCAGCACCGTTCTTTCTCTGTCTCGCTCGTGGGTTTTCTATTTGTTTTTCCCTCTTATGATGCAATGAATCAAAACCCCAACATCCCCAGCCATTCGCAATAAATCACTGGGTGGGAAAGCTGCCGCTAGCAGGAGGTCCTGGAGCGCTGTGCTCGGTCCCAGCCGCTGACAGGGAGTGTGGGAGCTTCCCCGCAGCCGTCCCTGCCACGAGCAGGAGAAGTTCACCAGCGGCAGAAGCATTGGGATGGAGAAGTCTAAAGAAAAAGGGGTTTTGCAGCCCCAGGGGACACAGGGGCAGGGAAGTCCCCATGCCTGATGTGGGAGGGGAGTGCGAGTGCTGCCGTAGGGACTGAGAAATGTCCCTTCTGCAACTCCCAGCTCACAGACAGCCCAGCTTTGGCTCGTAGTGACATTTACAGTCATCACTTTAACGTTCTGCTCACATACTTTCTGCATACAATAAAAACACGAGTGATTAAAATAAATCTGGAGCTTTCATCCAAGATTGTTTTGCCAATGACATTTAAATTTTGTGTGTGAAAATCTGGCTCGAGTCTCTGTTACTGAGATTCTTCATTTAGCTAAAGATCAAGCAGGCTGCACACCAGGTGATTTTTTATGTGGATGTTTTTTAAAGGCGCTTTGAACAGGAAATAATTTGTCAAATGCTTATGATGGTTTCCTTCTCCGTGGTCCAGTGTGCTCTGCCTTGGTGAGCTGATCTTCACTCAGTCTTGGAGAAGGTTTTTGCTCCCAGCTATCTTTCAAAAAGTAAAGCGTAAGAAACAGATCACCTCTTTAGCATAAAAACCCCTTCCATACACGTTTTAACCCTAAGATGTCATTCCCTAACTACCCCTCTAATTAGCAGCAGTGAGATATGATCAGAGATCTCATACCTGCTGCTCACACAGACTGTGGTTGTTTCCCACCACAATACCCTCCTTTCTCAGCTTTAATGTTCTGCTGATGGGGTTCTTGAATATGATAAACCACAAGTGATCAAAACAATATTGTTTTCATCATTCTTGAAGTCACAATTTACCCTAGTTTAAGCTTCTACTCGTTTTTGTCTCATCTTGCCTCTCTCTTTGCCAGTGCTTGTGTCCCAACTCATCTCAGCTATGCTTTTAGGCTGGGTGAGCTGGGATTGCAGATTAACATTTAAACAAGACCTTGAAAGGAGCTCACATCATTTGCAGGGAAGCTCTGCAGGGACAAAGCTTTGCGGCTTCACTCTTGCTCTGCTGAGTGTAAAACAAACCCGTGGAAACTGGTGAGGTGCAAATTTCTCTATTTCATTCCCTTTATTGCAACCGCTTCGAAGAAACACCCATCCAAGGACCCTGGTGGAGGAGCCCACTTTAACCCATTGCGTCTCAGCAGTCACAGCGTTCGCTGCTTTGTTTCAGGTTTGGTTTCAAAACTGCAGAGCCCGCCATAAAAAACACACCCCGCAGCACACGGTGCCACCGTCGGGAGCGCCCCCGTCCCGCATCCCCTCCTCGCTGTCCGATGACATCCACTACTCGCCCTTCAGCAGCCCGGAGCGGGCCCGCATGGTGACGCTGCACGGATACATCGAAAGTAAGAGGCTGCGAGGCTCGGGCAGGGCTGGGGCACCTCCCGGAGAGGAGATGGCAAAACCCTCCTGGTGCTGCGGCTGCGGGGATGGTGCCCGTGCTGCTGCTGCTCCTCGTGTTTGATAAATTTGCCCTTGGGATTAAGACGTCCCCAGGAAAGTCAGTGCCTGGGTTTTATCTGCTTGTAGCGCTCTCTGTGTCATGGAAAAGAGGTGTGAGTGTGTCCTGTGGGGTCTGTGGTGTCCTTCCTGCTCTGGACAGCAGAGCTGTTTTCTCTGACAGTTCCCAGTGCCAGTGAACGATTTGGGAGGGATGAGGGGCTTTGACCGTGCCTGCACAGAGGTTCTGGCTCTGTGGCTCTTGTGAGGTTTCTCCCCTCCCTGAGCCCATGAGGGCTCTGGGCACCTCCTGCTCCCCGCGTGTCCCGGTGGAGAGCATCCGTGCCGGATGGAGGGCGGGTGGTGTTTGCAGGAACCGAGGCTGAAGCCTCTTCTCATCCACAGGTCAGGTACAGTGTGGACAAGTGCACTGTAGACTTCCCTACACTGCTCCACCAGTGCACCTCAAAGCAGACATGGAAGGACCACTATCTAACAGGGGTGAGAAGGTAAATGTAGTCCCTGTTCCAGGCTCTGGGGCCAACCCTCCTCTGTAGCCAAGATTTATGTGTAACATCATTGCCACCGCCGTCTCTTGTCAGCATCACTGCCTCTCCATGACCTCGGGCAGCTGCCACCCTCCCATGTGTCTTCCCTTAGTTTTGGGTTGATGTACCCACTGTTGTCAAAATGGCATCACTGTGTTTTCCACTGGACACCCCTCGCTGTTGTGACGTGCTGGAACTCTGTGCCTGCATCCCCTGAAGGCTCTCACATCCTCCTGCCTGAATCCTCCCTGGTTTCCCCTTCCCAAGTGCCCTGAGCTCTGCCCTGCTCCTTTCCTCTGGCACCTGCACGTGTGCTCAGTGTGAACAGAAACTGGCTGGTAATAATGGAGCAGGAGGGACCTCCAGCATGTGCTAACTTCCCAGTTTCCCACGAGTTAACAGAAAGGATTAATATCTTGTGGATTGCAGTGTTGCTTAAAAATAATAACTGGCTGTTACAATAACCGAAGTAGGAATGTTATTTCACAATGTCTGGCAATATTGCATGTTGATATTTTTCTGTTCAGCTCTTACAGTATCTGTTCTAACACACAGCTTATTGGGGGCAAGACTTCTCAAACATGCCTAGGTTTGGAGGATTTTATTTAGGACCCTAATTTCAGTGACTTCCTTTTGAGGGAACACCGAGCCTTTGGCAACTCTGAGTGGTTTTAGCTTTTCTCTTTACTGTTAGAAGTTCTCAGCTCCTCTCTTTTCAGATCTCTCTCTTCCCAGTGCAGCAGCTTATTGAGCTCTGTTTCAATGGGCAGAAGCAGGGGCACAGCAAAGATACTTTTTCAGTATAAATTCTACCATTTTGTCATATCTGCCCAGCAAGCTGCAGAGTTTTTCTGAAAATATTACACAGTCCTGGTGATGTAGAGAAGCTTCACTGCAGCAAGCAGCTCCTGATTTAAATGCAATTACTGGCTTGCAGCTGTTGCAGAACAGGGTTCTCAGGACACAGAGCTGCCCCCCAACCAGCTCCTTTTCTAAACAACCACTTGCGTGTTGAATTCCTGAAAACTGAAGCTTTTTTTTTTCCCCACATCCAAAAAATTTTAAAAGCAGAGGTAGCTGAGATCCTGGCAAAACACAATTAAAAGCTGAGTGGGTGTTTCCCTCTGCCAGTGGGGCACCCCTCACCCTCCTCTCGGGGTTCCCAGTGCAGCAGCTGGTGAGAACTGAGCCGTGACCACCTCAGCAGCTGCTTGTCCTGCCCGAAGGCAGGGGAGGGGCTGGACCCTCAGAGCAGGAGGTGCAGTGTTTGAGGGGAGCCTGTGCTCATCAGTGAGTGAGGTGCACAGTCAGGTTTGTCAGGTCATGTCTTTCTTGGTAGCTGCTGTATCACGGGACAGATGGATGAACTGCTGGGTTTGGGGTGCTGCCCAGTTTTGTTTGGTTCACCTCTGCCATGGACCTGTCCCACTTGGGCTCCTCAGTGGCAGCTCCTTCCCTGGGCAGGGCTGGCAGCTCCCGGGCAGAGAATGCTTCCAGAGAGGGTTTTCCTGCGAGGAAGGGCTGCCACAGCAGAGCCTGTGCGTGTGCTCCGCTGCTCCCTGCAAGCACATCGCCATGGCACACAGGCCTCTGTCTCTGGAAGGCACTGACGCTCCCGTTTTTCCCCCAGGTCATCCTCTTTCAGTACTGACTGCGCGGACTCTTCCTCACCTGCCCGTGGCCCTACCAGCAGCGCTGCCCCTCGGCCGCTGACACGGCGCCCAGCCCTCGGCAGCTGCCACCAGTCCCGCGGGAGAAGCTCAGACCCAGCACTCTCAGTTCTTTCCATTGACCAGCACCTCACGTCCGCTCTGATTTCTCCAGCGACACTCTGTGTATGTGTGTGTTGAGTGCAGAGTTACATTTTACACTTGTTTCTTGTGGACTTTGTAGAATGACCGTGAGTCTCTCCAAGGCAGTGCCAGCCACAGTCAAAACTGGTGACTCTACTGTGCTTGCAAGTCTTGCTCCCAACCCATGGGAATATGAACAACCCAGAACACGCTGAGTCTCAGGGGGGTCGGTGGTCACCTCTGAACACAAAGGAAGGAGGAATTTACGTGGTTTGGCCTGATTCTCTTTTTGCACCAGTGAAGCAGTTCCTGGACATCCCTCCTTCTTTCCACTCGAAATCTGAAATTGGCTTTTTGGCTCAGCAACTCGATATATAGACAGACCTTCCCGAGCCAAACTCGCAGGTAGCTGAGACTCCACTGAGTGGAAAACATGATGCCAGCTGGAAATAGGCAGTTTTTCTTCCTCCTCAAAGTGCTTTAGAATCACATGTTCTTTGATCATTCAAAGGTAAGTAAATCTTAGTGTTTTTTCCCCCCGTTTTATAGGAGGGGAAGCAGAGATGTCCTAAACTGAGAGGAACCATGAGGGTTGGTGGCAGAGCCAGGTTTAGCACCCTGAAGTTTTTGATTGCTGACTTGTTCTTAGAACACTGAATATCTCTCTCCTCTCACAGCCATCTGCCAAATCTTCAAATCTTCTTTTTTTTTTTTTTTAAAGTTTTTTTACTCTCATTCTTTATTAACAAGCTACATTATTTCCTTGGAGTCATATTGGATCACAAATGGGTGATTTCAGAATGTACCTACAGAAAACTCTCAGACAATCCATGCTCTGGGACTGGGAAACACTCAATGGAAGGTGGCCATAAAGGTGTAGAAATGCTCTGCCCTGCTGTGGACTCAAGCTCAGTCAGTGGAAAGAGTTGGGTAGAAACTGGAGACCAGTTAAAGAGGTGAAGGCCACGGTAAGGCCAGCAGGAACCGTGGCTAGCCGAGCAGACAGCAAGGGGATGATGTCTTCCTTTGTCTGGCAGCATCGCTCTGATCCCCTCTGCCCTCCTGTTCTCCCTTGCTGGGTACGGCTGTCGGTCCTGCCAGGACCTGGGATGAGGGTGCTGGGCTTATGGCAACGACAAAGGAAGTGCTCAGCAGTCTGGCCCCAAGTCAGGAAAAGGACTCCAAAATGATCCTTCATTGATGGTAATAACGAAAAGTAAACAAGTGACCTCTGCCAGCCCTTCTCAGTTTGCACCGAGCCAAGAGCAGGTCTGTAACAAAACCTCTCTCCATGCAAGCACATGGGTCTGTCCTGCTGTGAAGTGTCTGTGAGGCTGCTCTTCCAAGAATGTGAAAGCCTACCCTGAGCCACAGCTAGTGAGGGATATGACTGAACCGTGCCCGAGGAGAGGAGATGGGAATCCATCCGTTACATAACTTGTTTTGAACTGGAACTGTAGATACGTGTGTTTTCCTCTCTGGGAGATCCTGGATCAATCCATGGCATGGGCCGGGTGGGCAACCATCCCACTGCTCTGGCCAGCCCACACTGCACGCGTGGGGAGCTCCTCCTGCCCGTGTCCCTGAACTCCGTGACACCAGCAGCCAGCCACGTGGCTCCAGCTAAACGGCGAGGAACGCTCCGGGAGTGGCGTGGGGAGATGGGAGATGGGAGATGGGGATGTCTGCTGAGGTGGCCACCGAGATCTCTTGGTTTGAGGAGTAACTGAGCACAAGCACATGTTGATATTGGTTGGAACAAATCCACGCACGCTGATTTGCATTATCAGAGTGATGGTACTACCTCGGACAGCTGGGCCAGTATCTGTCAGAGTGCAGCCAGCAGCTCCATTCCCAATTCAAAATAACATTTGAAAGGAGAGAGGGGAATTAAGTCCACAAAATATTATTGTCACCTCCTGATGTGTGACCGTTTCCAGAGTGTGACCAGTGACAAGGCGCTCCCGCATGCCTGACCCGACCGGAGCCACCACTGCAGAGGCGTCCCCTGGGCGAGGGGACAGTCACCAGCTCCACCAGTGCCGTCCTTTTTGTCCTTGTTGGCAGCAATGAGGGAAGGATGAGTGTTCCCTTGGCTGGCTGCTGGTGAGTGTTTGTCATCACAGGTTGAGGCGGCTGTTGTGTCCTTGTGCCAGCCTTGAGATGCTCGTAGGGGCTGGGGGGTCACCAGGGCCTGACTTTGTTCTCCATTTGTGCTTGCACATCCTAATGACCATTTAGTTGTGGAATTAGTGCCATAAAGGAATGGGTAGTTACTCCATTTGACACTGAAGGAGAGACTTCAGGCTGTAACTTGCCCTGACATCCCACAGTCTCTGAGATTGCCACAACTCCTCTGTTGAGGGAGAAAAGGGTTGGATGTCTTCTCCCTTCTGTCTTGGCAATGCAATGAAAGGGAAACCATGAAGTATGTTATCTGCTAAATACCAACTTGATCAGAAAAACCCCACTTGTGAAACGTCCTGGATATCCAAGGGTTTGTAAGCGATACACGGCAGGGCCGGAGCGCGAGGCAGGGCCGAGGGAGTGTAGGTGTTTCTCTCCAGGGACCTGGGCTCACCACAGACTGTGCTCGGGGCACTTCCCCCCATAAGTAGCCAGGAGCAGCTTTGCTAATTCAGAAATCAGGCTCTGTTTATATTAAGCCCAAATTGTTTGCAAAAACTGGAAGCAATTCAGCTTGTGCAGTTTTAGAGCTAATTATGTGTATGGAAAATACTCAACTGTACCAAGAATGTAAGAAATCTTCTAATTTATTCAATACATTGTTTCACAACATATTTCACACTGACTGTTGCCACTGAACCAAACCTTATCTCAGGTCATTTGCATTCATCTCCTGTATGTGGATTTAAAAAAAAAATAAAATTAAAGTCATTCTCATTTTCTTAGTTTATTCAGTAATTGCCAGATGGGTTCTGGTGCAGCAATGCAGACTCCACGCACTAAACTTTTCCAGTTGCTATTTACAAACCCTTTTGCAGACAGAATCCACTGAAGACAGCCAGTGAAAGGCTCTTCACTCCAGTTTAATAAGGTGATTAACAGAGCTCTGCTCTGGAAGTGGGATGGTTTCAGGTTTTATCACCAGTGATTTTTTTCTGGCTCATGCTGGTTAACCCAATGCCCGAGCTAAAGGTGCTTACAGAACTCACTCGTTGGGACAGGGAGTGGGAACCAATCCTGCACTACTATCAGTGATTTATCTGCAGGATGCCAACTAAACACCAGTTTTATTTCATCTGCCAATCATTTTGTTGTAGCATGTTGCAATTCTGCATGTCTTGGCTACAATGGTTAAAAAATTTTTTCTCTGAATGACTGGACAGTCAAGACTAATATTTATTTTAAAAAAGTAAAACAAAATTGTAAGCACTTTTTGTAAAACCAATGTCTGTTTTGTTACATACTTTTAATGTTGTGCTTTGTAAATGTCTTATTTGTGTAATAAATAAAGTTAATGCAAGTAGAAGTGCTGGCACTTACATCCAGAAAATGATGTAATTCCATTTTATTTTATTTTTAAATACTTTCTGGCTTACTAATCAAGCAGCAACCCACCCAGTTTTCCTCTTTTATTATTTTGTTAAACTCTGGCTTCAGGAGAGTTCAACAAACGTTCGTAGTAAATGGATATAATTTCCTAGTTAGCAAACCAGTCATTAAAGAATACCTCTGGTGTACATTATTACAATGATCAATCAATATCAAAGTACTGAGCAAAAAGAGAGGAAAGGAATTCACCAGGACAGCTAACTAAAATCTGGGAAAATAATGTTGATTAAGATGGATTTGAATGACTTCAACACCAAATCTGAGGCACTCTTTTTAACAAATTGTTTTCAGGCTTAATAATGTTTATACATACTACACTGCACACCTCTCAGGAATATTATTGTGAGTACAGTCGGCTTTTTTGCCGTGGCTTTTGCTCAGCATGACTGATTAAATGATTATTTCCATTTTTCTTTGAGCTGACAAAGATGACAGAAAGATTATATTCCTGTCGAGGGAATGGGTGAGACAAATCCACGAGGACAAATTGCATTTATTGTGAATCAGATTACCTGCTTTACTGGAATATTGTCTAGGAAAAACTGTTTGATGGTTTGGGTTCATCCTCAGTTGTTATATCCCAGGCTTTCCGGCAGGTCCGAAGGATCCATTCATGCTCATCATTGTCTGAAAGGGAGAGAAAGAGAACATTAAATATCCCCGTGCCAGATCTGCTCTTTGCATCCCTGGGGTCCAAAACAAGTCATTTCTCCTTTGAAAAATAAATCCATTTTTTAGCTATTTGCATCTCTTAGAACACTTTGTTTGTTTGTTTGTTTGTTTTTGTGCTGTTGTGTGGGAATTTGTCAAGGCAGGAGGAACTGGGTCTGTAGCAAGGAATGATTGTTCATCTGTTTGATAAGCTTAGCTTGGCTGAACCACGAGATTTACATGTAGAGATTTGAAATTTTGCCTTTTTTGGGAAAAATGTGCAGGAGAAATGTTGAAACTATCAGAAATTAAGATAGGCATTTTTTTGAACACTCTGGCTGGGTTGCTTGTCGGTTTATAAAAAGTGAAGGTAAAGAAAAATTTACAGTAAAATCCCAGGTTCTTGTCTTGCAGCTTTTCTTTCCATGCTGTTTTTGAGATGTATGTTGTGGCAGGTATTGATAAGCTGATGCAGTGGCTGAGAGATATTTTAGACCAACTCCTGTGTCCCTTGTTAGTATTCATGTCTGTCGTATTTATTCTGAGAGCATAATGACAGTGTGGAAAGAAAATAAAAGCAAAGACAATGTAGGAAAAAAACAACTGACCAGCAAAGTTTGAATAGTAATTTTCTGCATGATTTACAAAAAAATAGCTTGGTGAATGTTAAGTTGTGGCTTCTTAATTTCAGGGATTTAAATTGTCTTGTCTCCAGGAACTGTTCTGCAGCCTTTTCCTTTGTGTTTGTGTAGGAAAAAAGAGATCTGTGTAGTAAACCAGGAAAAACAAACTTCAAAAAGCCTTAGGGAAAAAAAAAATCAAAATATTACTTCAACAGTACCTGTATTTATTTTTATATAAATGAAATATATTCGAGCTGCTTCTTGTGTTTACCACTGTCTTAACAAATTCATATTAGCTCCTTGTGATATGTGTAAAAAACTAGATTTTGAGGGTTTGTGGCAGCCCTTGTGAGGTACAAATCCAGATGACTGGGAGGAGGATGGAGCCGAGGGGGTGTAACCCCAGTGCTGTGACCATCATTTATTCACCCTGCTGAGCACCCTGCTTAGGCAGGTCGAAAAAAATGGAGAAAGAAGAATGTTGCTTCTTTAGGAGTCAAATTTTCATGGAGATCTTTTGATTACGGAGTTGTACCTTTATGTTAAAGTGACAGAGGAGCATTTGAAATGCAAAAGATAGGAAAGTCCTGGGAGTGAAGTGTTAAGCTGAGAAGTTCCCAGAGGGGTGTGTGACAAATTCTGATGCACAAGTCGTCAAGCTTGGGGATTAATCCTACTGATTGTGGTCCCTTGTGAATCAAGCTTTGCCTTTTCTTTTTTCTACCCTTTTTTTGTTTTTCATGCTGCCCTCCCTTTCTGTCATTGCTGGCCAAGGGAGTCCTGCTGCTCACACCCTGCTCCATCCTGGTGGAGGGAGGAAAGGTGCCAAGGTGCTTGTTTTAATCACTGTAAAATAGTCATAATTTGGATAAAATAGCTAAGTTCAGCTCTTTCTGTGTTTTGCTGATCTCCTTTTTATTCCTTAGAGATCCACAGATCCATAACAAAATACCCTGTTAATGGCACATTTCTAATTCGGGTGTAAAGTAGGAGAAAATAGATGCTGAAAAAAATATGCTAAAAGGGAAATTAAAAACATGAGCACAGAATCTTGCTTAAAGACCATGCAATCCTCACAGGCAGATTCCACCGAGGGCTGTAACAGGAATGCAAATGTGGTCCTTAAGCTTTCTTAAAAACAACATCCAAACCATAATCAATGTGCTGGCTTTTGTTCTAGGCACTAGGTGTTGCAGATGTGATCACCCAGCCTCGCCTGTGACAGATACTGCCCAGTCTGTGTGGCTCTGTGGTTTTAGCTGGAATTGCCTTAACTAAAAAAAAAAAAAAATAGTTTATCTGAGCTTGTAATAATTGCATGAAAAGGAAACTTTTGTCTGTTTCTGTCATGGTGAAGGAATAAGAAAACTTAGAGATGCTGTGCATCATCGTGTCTGGCTGGTAGCTGGGTCCTCCTGGCTCACCTGAGTGCTAGAAATAACCAGCCTGAGTCTGTCTGAGCCTTTGGCAGCGCTCACTCAGCTGAGCATCAAGGGTAGAAGCACAAAGAAAGGCAGATGTTAACTTGGCTTCACAGGTTTCCAACATACCCTTGGTTTGTCAGATTGTCTCCTTCTGCTCTCTGGGATTTCCTGGTCTCTTAGGAAAGCACCCAGGAGAAATCACTCCAAGGATCTTAGCCCTGCCAGATTGATTCCAAAATGTCTTGGTTTGTGCAGAGATCTGAGCCCTTGCAAATTAAATACGTGTTCATAAGCCCTGCTTAACCTGCAAGTAGTTTAACCAGATGTAAAAACTGAACAAGAAATGCAAATTTCAACTTTGTGTATGAAAAGGAAAAATAATGTAATGACTCAACATGAAGTAAATCCCTAGGACTGCCATCCAGCCCAGAGTGATGTACAGCTGGTCCTTGCCTAGGTAAGGGGAAATGAAAGAATTGATCCAGGATAGGAAGAAGAACCACAGCCCAGGGATGAGAATGGCTTCCAGGACTGGCTATGGGAGAAGAGGCAGGGAAATATTAGAATGTAAAGAGTTAAGCTATGGTAAAACATACTTTTGCTACACTAAAGAAGACTGGTTGATAATTACTGTAGTTTTAGGGCTATTTGAATCAGTGCAGCTGCAACCTCTTCAGTAGTAACCCCTGAAACAAGACAAACTGGGTTTATTGTACTGAACAAGTCTTAAAGCTCCTCCCTGATTGTTAGTAATTGGCAGCAATGGACTTAACAGCCTCTTGACTACCCTTTTTACACTCTACCTGACTGTGCAGCTAACAATTTAAATCACAGATGCCGATCCTTCTTTGTGGCAGCTGCTTGTTAACTACACGTTCCTCTTTTTCTGCCACTGGCTGCCTCCATAACCCTGCAACACCAGGGTTAGATTGGAGAATCACATTTCATCAATATTTAAAATGGAATTAAACCTTGAGGTTTGATTAATGCTACCAGATAGTGAGTTGTAATTACTATTTTGCAAATTGCAATTGTTTGAATATGTTAATATGATTGTCTAAGCACATCTTCACCTTCAGAAGTAATTTTCCTTTTAAAAAAGATTTGAAAAAAATACAAACTCTTTAATCAGTGCTAAATTATCACCCTGTGCACAATTAGGTAGAATGTGGTTCTTCGTGTGGTGTGCTGAATTTTGTGTCAGCATATTTATCTTTAAAAGTTTATCCATTTTTAAAAATTTTCCTCAGTAGAATAAACAGTTACAGAACAGACTTTGCTGAAAGAGGACTAACCATGCTGGTGTTCGAAGGTAAAGGAAAAAAAGCTTTGTCTGAGCATTTCACTGCAATCTGGTGTATCCCTGTGCAGTTAGTAAAATGTTACCCAGTTATTTCTTCCAAAGTCAGTGAAATATTATCATTATTATCGTGACATATTATTGGAACCTTGAAACTGAAACAGCAAAAGATCGTAATAGATGAGCTCTTGAATTATTTCCTTGTGTCTCAATCAAAAATGAGATCAGTTTCTAGCACCCACTAAATATATCTTGAGTAGTGTGGGTGAGATCCTCAGCCAGCCCACACTGGGACAGCTCTCTGTTATTTTTGGGATTAATTCAGGCTGTTTTCATTAAGCAGGCAGAGGCACACGGAGCCAACCCTGGCAGCCACCTGCAGGACTGGTCCCCAGAAGCAGCATTGCCCACAATAGGAGATTAAGCAGGGGTACAAATCCTCCTGACCTCCTGTTGGACATGTCCACACAGCCAGGTCAGTCTGCAGAGTCTCTTTAGGTAAATTAGACCCAGCTGAAGCTGGTGGCTCTAATGTGTTCCTATATGTAGCCCAAAATTGGTTCTTTTTGCTAAATATCGCCTGGCAAGTTTCTGCCTTTGTTTTGGGGGGTTTTAGGGGAAGTCCCAAATGTCAGCAAAGTCCAAGCAGGTGTCACAACCACTGTTAAGTGTATTCCACAGTGAGCTCAAACTGCAGCCCACTTAAATCAGTGATTTCTGCTCTCTGCAAAATGAAACCACTTGCCTCAATGTTCAGGCTAAAAGTAGTGGCAGAAGAGATTTCCCCAAATACCACACTCCAGATTTATCTCTCAACTGGGATTAGAAACAGCTGAAAATTCAGGGTGGCCTTGCTTCAGGGTGCTTCCAAGGGATGACATGAAAACACACTGTAATTTAGGTGCGTTTAATCTTGCTATATTAAATGCATATTGCAAAGTTTAGAATTATTTGCTTCTAACTATCGTGTTTCTGTGTTGCTTATGGAAACCTCAGCTGTGAGCGACTTCTGAGGACTCTGCATGCTTAGGTGCCTGCCATGGCACACAGCTGAGACTGACAGTACTGGCAGTATTGCCATGGAGGCTTCTCTTAACTATTGCTTTCCCAGGAAACCACCTTGAAGTTTGCTGAAATTAGAATAGCAAGTGTGAAGATGACATTGTTCACCTTGAAAAGCTTGTGTGACTGTGTTAGGTCTCTGTAGCTGTATGTGCTCCTGATGTCTCAGTGGCTGTGGCTGTGCTGGAGGCCCTGTGCACCCCAAAAATCAGATCCCAGGGGCAATCCAGGACCTGATGTGAGCGGTGTCATCCCCTTGTGTGCTCTGTTGGATCCCAGGAGAGCTGGTGTCCCTGGGATGTGGCACCACCAGGGCAGGGAGCACTCGGAGCCCTGGCACAGCCGAGGCCCAGCCCTGCCCAGAGCTTTCCATGCCCATGGTTTGGAAGGGTGTGTTCCCAGCAGACCATCCTCCAGCAGCAGCTGAGCTTCCTCTCCGTTTGCACAGGGCCAAGCACACGCAGCCCATTGTAAACAACAATATCACTGAATTCTTTCACATCCCTGGCTCCTCCCAGCACCCGCAGCGCCGTTTATCATGTTCTTCCACTGCACAATCACAATGACATGTGATAGCATCTCAGCCATGGGTTCTGCCTGGCACACCCCTTCCACTTCCACTGCCCCCTCCGGGTCCCTACCACCCCTTTCCTTACTGCACCTGACCCCACCAACATCAAGGCTGGCAAGAAAATGGAAAATATGTTTTCAATTAACCTTTGCTTCCACCCACAAATTCTCACCCTTCCATTCTCTTTTAATTACTGTCATTCCAAAATGGCCCCCAAATGAACTTTCCATCTCTGGTGAAAGCTGTTTTCACATGAGCTGTATATTGAATGTAAGTGCCTATAAGGCTTGTGTGTAACCTATTTAATGGATTCACAATGGGATGGTTAGCACCCAAACAAAGGTGTTATTCTTGGCATGCCCCTCTTTGGAACTGAAACTTCCACAGTTTTCAAAAAGATAAGGCCAGGAAACCAGAAGGAACAATATATCTGCAAAAGCTATAGCTACTGAAATTACTGTAGTAACTTACATCATGATGCAAATGTTAATATTGTCACTGCTGGCTATAGTCTGGAATATAATTGATGTTGGTTCATAATCTATTTTGCTTTGAGGATGATTCAGATTAAAACATGGAAGCCAAATTTAATCTAAAAATGTTCTTGGTTGCTCTGATGAGGAGTCTCCGAGTGTCTGTGTCTGTCACCTGAGCAGACTTTGACACTGTGAAAGACATATGTATGAATTTTGCAATGGCATCCAAAATGTGCTTGATCTTCACACATTTCTATAGAAAAAATACAAAAAGAGCATATGATGGGTAGGAAAATTGGTCCAACATTTTAAAAAGTGTTTAAGGTACAGTAAGGAAAAAAACCCCACCAAATGGGTAAGAAAACCTTCCCAAATTCTCGTAGGAGTCTGGGATCTTAATTTTAAATGAAGTGGACTCAATTTCTCTCTGCCATCTTCACTGCTCAGCCATTTGCCTTGCCCACTCAGCAGTCCCACTGTGATACTTGCCAGGGTTCTGCCTCTTCTGCTGAGATTTGGCTCCTCAATTAATTTATTTGTTAAGCATTGGGGATTATTTAGATCCAGTGCTCTGACACTGGGACAAAAGCTATCTAACTAAAAAATAGGAAGAGGTTGAGAAGTGAAACTTTAGAGATCCAGATCAAAGAGTTATAATTTCTGAGCTGCTGCTGGATGTAATATTTTTCAAAGCTTTTGACTACCACAGAGTCTGGAAAGGAAGTACCAGGAAACTGGAATTGTATGAATGTAGCTAAAAACCTATGTCCTGGAACTAGAAGTAAGGGAAAAAAGTATGTGGGAGATGGAGGAGACAAGACCAGAAGGAGAATTTGTAGGTAGCTCTGTAGAGCCTTGTGGGCAAAGAGAATAAGCTGAATGCCATGGCAGAGAGAGGAAAATATTTTTTGCAGTGGTATTTTGGAGGACTATGAATCAAAGAGGCCAGAAAGAGGAATTAGCAGTAAAAAAGACAAGTGCTCCAGCTGTTGCAAGAAAAGCAAGGGCTACTCGCATTCATTACTTGTGTAAATGGAGAGCAGTATTGGCTCTCTGCTTTACAACCCTGCTTTCAGAAATAAGTTTGTCAGCCAAAGTAAAGAGAAAAAGATCAATGGATTGCAATAAACGGCATTTAACATAAAAATGAGTAAAATTTACAATCCAGTTAACTTGTTAAATGTTACAAAATCAGCAAACAATAGACACAATTTGTTTTGTTCAGAGCCCAGAGGTAGAGACCAAATCTTCTAAACTAATTTCTGCAAAAGCTGGGGTTTTTTTCCAAACAGGTCTGGATCCTATTCGTTGTAGAATATACTGATTACCAACTATTTTTAAGAGCTTTACACAAACATTATTTCTTTTGTTGTGTGAAATGCAGAATCAGCCATCTGGCAAATGCCCCAGAGCTAAAATCTTTTACATGACATATAATTCAAAATGATTAAATATACAACAGAAAATAGCTATAGCATTGCACTTAAAATAGCATGAACTTTTACTGCCGATCAAAACTGATTTCTTTAGCCTAACAAGTATCCAAAGAACAATTATTTGAAGAGCTTTTAAGAGTTTCAATATGTAGGAACTAAACCTCATCTAAATTCAGTATCTTAAGTCAAATAAAAAAGAAACAAATGTACAAAAGATTAAATGGTCCTGCCTTATAAGTAGACATTTAAATCTATGGGAAGCTAAATTCATTTGAACAAAAATACTATATTCCCTCTGTATGTGTATTGCTGGGGCTTTCCTCTCCTTGCTTGGGGCATCTGCCAAAACAACTCTTACATTCTTAGGCAATGACTAGGGGACTAGCCTGGAATCAGGCTGTTCATCCACTCCCTCCATCATCAGAACGGGCAATTTCAAAGAAGAACAGGGAATAAAGCTCTGTGCAAGATCCCTCAGTGCAGTCAATCTTTTTTCCTGCACCACAGTCAACTCGAAGTTAAATTTGCTGTCTTTTTTCCAGAAATACTCCAGGCCTGAAAAATTGCCAGGTCCTCATCCCACACCCAGTTCTCCAGTAGTTTCTGAGAAAGAGCACGCAAACATCTGCATGTATTTGGGGTACATGAGGGTAGGTATAGAAATATTACCCTGAGCGATTATTGAGTGGTTATGGCTGTTTCTCAACTGCATTTTTCAGACGAGTCAAAGTCTACATTTCCCAAAAAGCACTTGGTGCAAGTCAGGTTTGAGTTGTGAGGGAAAAAAAAAAAAGTCCAAATGTAGGAGATTTTTCTCACGGATTTGTGTACTTGGAAAAACCTGAAATGGTTGAACACATCGTTGCCGACTGTCCAAAATATTTGTGCCTCTTAGTTCTTTCAGACCAAGAACGAGAAACTCCATGCCAAGGTAACAACGTGAGGAAACTGTAAGTTTGTGATTATTAAGCTCAGAATTAAAATGGCTTTGCCCCCTCGCCTGGGGAGTCGGGCCAGCCTCATGACCAAGGAACCTCAGACGTTCTAACCCCAGACTTCTCTAAACTATACAAAAATAATGTTCTTGAATCTTGACCTTTTCAGCCCATAATGATTCCTGAAGCAGCAGGATTTTTCCTGCTGCTTTTCACAAGACTTTCAGGCTTGTAGAAATGCTGATTGCAGGCTGGCTTGGGACTGCAGCAACACCAAACCCCCTCTTAATAATACGCTTGTCCTGGTCTTCTGGGCCTAATCCTGCTCTTAATTCACTTCCCTGACTGAGCCCTCAGTGAAAAGGCAGATTTTGTGTCTTTCTGCTTTTGATTTATAGGAAGAGGTACAAATATATTTCAGGTAATATTGACTGCACTACATGAAGCTCCCCTATGCACCTACTAATTAAACCTGAATTCTCATATCAGAACAAGGAAAAGCATTTTTTATATTATTTAACTCATCCTTGTG